TGTTACAGTTAAAGATAAAGATAAATTATAAATGTGCTTATATTATGCTTTCATATGTGTAACTTAAAATGTCTAAAATTTCTTTGTAGTAAAGTAAAAGTTCAATGGTTCACAGCCAGTTTATTCAATAATTTAGATTCTTTGCTATAAATTAAAGCAGTTCAGTCAATTAAACCATTGACTCTATTCTACAAAGATATTTTGGTCATTTTAAAATTGGTAGAGTGCAATTGCATTTTTGATCCCCGACTGTATATATGAAAAACTTTGATACTGAATGAAGAAAACTTGATCGATGAAAAAGGTCAGTTTGGGTAGTTTATACATATAAAAGTAATGCTATATCCAAAATGATGTCCTTATTAATACATGTTACATAGGTCAGATTCTAATACTAACTAAACATCCTCTTTCAATACGTTCCTAGTTTACAAAAACATCCTTCATCTCTATACACGCGATCAAGACACTTAGATTGGTATAGAAATTATAAAATTGTAGTCTAATATAGTCTCTATGTCGAAGTACATACACGCTAATTAAATGCAATGTTCCCACGATAATATTGGTCCGGCTAGAACGCTACTTATTTAGTTCAAAGTAATTGTGGTGTCAGCTCTGGTTAAATGAGAATTTGTTAAGTAATTATTTATCTATGTAGAATTGATTGTGTCCAATGTTTCAAATTAGAGTTGTTAATATTACTCAAACATGCTCTGTAATTATGTATATTTTATTATTGGTAATTAGAATTAAACTTATACTAAGTATCTACTTAAAAAACTCAACTTTCAAGTCAACGTTGTCATAGGAAGCTAAAGACGATAAATACTAAATAGATATAAATGATAACATGTTATTTTTTATTATATTAGATTTGCATTCTTGGAATCCCGTATATTCCACGACACATGTCCTAGTTGGTCTAATTTAGGCAGTTAACCCTGCACTGGCTGCTTTGGCGAGTGCCATAACGGGGTTTTCAAATAGATCGAACACAATATCGAATGTAGGGGCGAGGTTGACGTACGCTTTAACATACTTCGTCTAATCTGTCAATTCCATACATTCATTTTTCTATTCACTAGAGACTAGTGTCTATGCTATTTGTCTTATAACGTTAATCACTTATTAAAGATTCCTTATAATTTATTAAAAACCAAATAAAAAATATTACCACGAATATCATCGCTGGACAGTCCAACACTAAGCTATCGCTTGGCAAGCCGCGATTTAAAACATTCATGCTAAGTTTTCATAACACAAAATCAATAAGTACTACGTATAGATCTAATGATACGATCATGTGACAGGTATCATTAGAGAGGTACAACAAGGACGTAGTGACTTGGTATCAAGTGACGAATATACGTCACGCATCAAGTATTCTCCGTTCACATGTCATATGAGGGCAATGGGAAATATCGCGAGCTTCGGATTCTTCAGTCAGTAGGTTGGGACTAGTGTTGATATACTTCAAGGTTATATTGTTAGGAATTCATTGAATACATTGTCATACGTACATTAGGTACAGTCAGTTAAGTTATTTATGAATTGGTTGAGTAGAACTCGCAAGCTTGGCTCTCCCACTTAACTGTGGGAGAGCCAGGCATCGGCACGAATGGGTCGACTCCACTGGAGTAATACTACGGCCTCACAGAAAAACGGCGTGAAACACCATAGCGTTGTTTTTCGCCGCGCGAGTTATGGGAGCCAAAATCCCTCCCCCTATCCCCATCCCTTTCCCAATCCTTGAATATCTGAAACCATTATTCCCAAATGGCTGGAAACGCACTTGTAACTCTTTTGGTGTTATGGGATCTATGGGCGGCGTCAATTGTTTACCATCAAGCAACACGCCTGCTTGTTTGCCGACCAATACAATACAACAGCTCAGTACCCAGTTAATAGTTGAATAGTTGTTGCCATTGCCATATTTTACCAACAAGGGGGTTGCGGGGTAAGCGCAATTTGGCACCGCGTCCTCGGCCCAGAGCAGGAGAAGGAACAAGGGGGTTTTTAGTCAGTAAGAGTCTGACACTCCCTCCCGCCCGACCCTGGGCGGGAGAAGTCATTTGATGATTGTCCCCGCACAAAAAAGGTTTAAGTTTCAGGTAATCTAACTAGCTAACTAATCAGCAGTGCCGTATCATGACCTAAATGTGCCACTTAAATCAGTCAGTAAAGAATATTTTAGACCTACCCATACTCGATATTGGTTCTACAATCAAGAACAGTCAATACTTTATATGTTTAAAAAAATGGTTCCGAGACCACTAGGTACTTTAAGATAATTTCAATGTAGTTACTTGTATTGTATGGAATTTATTCAATAGCTGGTTGCATAGTGCACTAATATTGTGCAACATTATGCCTCACCGTGGTAGCATTGTGACCTTTTTTCTGCAATTTATCAGTGTGCAGTCATTTGTTATTAATGGCGGCCAATTACTGATTAATGTGAGTTGAGAATTGCTCTCGAGAATCAATGAATGGAACTGGTGGTGAATTATGAATGAAATGATAAGCATGATGTTTATTGCGATGTTTTGTTTAGTATTTTACGTAAGTAACCTGACCTGTATGTATAACCTGACCCGTTCGACTTGTATGTATAACTAATATTTTTTGAGGGATCTTCATATCACTTCTCTCGCCTTTTGTGGGGCAAGTGTAAGTGTTAGACTTTTACTAATTAAAAACCACTACTTTCGTCTCTTGCTCCGCAACCCTATATACCTACATACCTACTTACATTCTCACTAGTTCATCATAATGTTCCCAACACGCATAAACAATTTGCACTTCACCCAAGACTTGTCTATCTTTAGATCGTACAATAATTCCACTCCAGTACAACAAGCAACATATTAAAATGTTCCCACAGCTTTTAATCTCATCACCAATCACCAACAACGTATAATCTTGAAACGGTAACAACTAGTTTGTAATCAATCCAATCAAGTCGAAGTTTTGTAAGCAGTTCTCAGTAGCGTGTACCGTACACTATCATACTGGGCGAGATGATCTCCAACTGACGAGAGGACCCGTATAAGGCCTTGAGTAACCCGACCGACCGATATAGTCCCTGTTCCCACGATATTCAAATCGATCGACATCCACATACAATGTACCTAATTACTTCTATATTACCCCGTATTATAGTCTAGTAAATTACACCTTCACTCAAGCACTTAATTAGATAAATTAATTGTCGTAAGCCGCACCGGTTATTCATAACACCACTTGTGTTGACTAAGTGCGTACGTGTTTCAAATGTACCTACATAGCTACTTAGTGTGATTTCAAATCAAAGCATTTGGATGTTAATCGATTGCTATTATAATCACTATGATGATGGTTGTCACTAAATTATTACCGATCACTTTAGTGCTTCTTGCCTTACTTTACATCAATGTTTTATTTAATCGTTGCTATGTACTCAAGTAAATAATGTCTAAAATTACGTTATGTACACACGAAAGCTAATAAAATTTGAAAACGAAACTTCATACTTATCTACTGATCTACATTTTACTAAGTTGACAACAAGCTGAAAATAATGCTGCCTTACTAAGGAATACTTATAATGAACTTTACAAAATTAAAAAAGCTAAATGATATTATTAATTTGGATTCACATATCACAGCTTCATTCCTAATAGAGCCTTACGTGAAATCCGCCTTAAGGCAGGATTTACTAAAACAGTTTAGCAAAAAAACCAGCAATAATGCTAAGTAGCGACGAGAATTGTCGGGATGTTAGCCCGTTACTTACAACCGTAGCATACGGGCAGACATCCTCAGAAACACTGTTCTGTATTCAAATATTTGCATATTTGATTTGAATTTGAATAATCAAATGTTGTCACATCACTAATGTGTTAGGTACACGAGGATTTTTAGTGTGTTTTTATTGTTTATTTAGTATTTTATTTGACATCTAGTATTTAAATGTAGATTTAAGTCAGCAATTTATATTCCTGTTGCATAATTTTTGTATATAGTTTCTCTTGCATGATTTTATAGTGGCGTTTAGGTTTTTGCGGTGCGATTTTTGCATAATTTGAGCTTTTCACTTCGATTTGAATTTGTTTTGTTGCAATTTTATTTCTATTGGTATGCCATTTTTTAATTCGATGTTTATTTAATGTTTCGGTCGTTCTGAAGCTCTAGGCTCGAAAGCGGAGCTTTAGAAATTACTGATAACATACCATACCATTATTAATATGAGAGTAGGCAATACCATAAAATAAGTGCACGTACCTACTTTTAGAATCCATTTGCCGAGCTCTGAGAGGATAACGTGATATTATATTATACTGCACTATTCACGGTCAAAGTACTGCAGCGATAAGCACATAAGCTCAAAGCTTGATTTACAAATCCCTTCTCACAACATGGCCATATTTAATGCAGTATTTATTCTAAATAACGTATCATTATCAGTAAGCAGCTGCTACTTCGTGCTTGCTAAGTAAATGTGAGTCGTCCGTCCGACTGCTCTGTTATACCTAGCAGCACATTTAGCTACACCATGTATGATAGATGTAACTACAGTCAAGAACAGTGAATTGTATAGTCTGACGTTTATTCTTATTCAAATTATGTTAACAAGCTTTATAATTTAAAGATATTTTTAAATTGTCAAAGTATTCATTTCATTAGTCGTGTCCGATATGTTTGTTACACACGATGAGCTTAATTTGTGATTCCACGTGTTTTATGTACTTACTTAATATTTGCTAAAATGCGTTGTTGGTTAATTTTCTCATTTAACTACCTGCTCACAAGTACGCAACAAGCTAATGACATTTGTTTTCTTTATTTTACAATTGTTCTCACAACATTAATCGCTAAATTAATAAATAGAAACCTACCTAGTAAATACATATATTTACGTCGGCGTGTCGTGTTTTTGATTCGTAATTGTCGTATTTAAGTATATTTGATGAATTGGATTTTAAGATTGTAAAACTAACTTAGTATATTTTTTACAGAGCAATAATAACGGAGAATACTCTTCGAGAAGTCTTCCTCGCGTGAGGCTCGACAACGGTGCTAATGTTGGCACGGCTGGTGTTAGACTCCGCTGTTGGGCAGCACCGCCATCAATAACAGAAGAAGACGTTGAAGAAGAAATCGAAGAGGATGCAGTTTCACTACGGGCAATACCTGCTCAAGGTTTGTGATTTGAATTTTTGCAATGCCATCTAGCGCGTAGTAGTCGACTTCATTTATTTGAGCGCCATCTAGTAAGCGGTAGTGGATTTAACGTGTTAGCGCCATCTAGCGGGTAAAAGCTAATTTAGTATTAACGCCATCTACAGTTTACTTTATGTAACTAAGTAATTCTTTTACTCGACACTAGGTGGCGCTTTGGCATCTGTATGTTTCTTCTATTCAACAATAGATAGCGCTGTTCAGAAGTTCGATTGAAAGTGTATCAACATCAATTAACTGATATTTCTTGCAATGCTTTTTTTTTCTGTATATTTTATAAACATACAATGTATGTTTCTTTTAAGGAAAAATGTTTATAATAATTTAGGAGAAAAAATATAGGTATATAATGTTTTCAAACTTAAACATATACTCAGGTAAATGCTATTGGATCACACGCTATGAATACGACAATGCTGGCTCTTCGACTGAACTTTCAGGAAATGTTAATTGTAAGAAGTAGGGCAAATGTGTCAACGTGTTTTCCCCACTTCCGCGAAACCATACAAAATGCCATAAAATTCTGTAACAGAAAGCAATTTCATCACATATCTACAACAAGTTTTCACTTCTCATTAATTCGAAGTCAGTTGTCGGGGTGGAGTGGCATTTTGTGCGCCATCGTAATACGATGCAAGAAGGGCGCACACCGTGACGCGAGCGCACCCGTAGTCGTCCGCCGTCACCAATCGATTCGTCCCATTGTTTCACGCCCGCGCTGCATACTTGTCACTCTTTTTATCACTTGGAAAATTAGTGAGAATATTAGCTTCTTTAACGAATTCCAGAGCCTCGTTGCGTTGTCTTGTGTAACACTTCTCGATATTTTTTGTTGAAGTATCGTCATAGTTTTTTGGCATTGCCCAATAAAATGTTTTTTGTGGAGGCCATTTCCAAAGGTGTAACTGTATGGTGTTTTAAAGTTTGTTATATACTTTTCGATTTTGTGAGGTACCTATAAGATGCATTTTTTTGGCTTTACTTATGTAAGACATGCAAGTTTTAAGTTTTTAGCTAAAAATCCTCGCGCAAAACTAAGTTGAGGCACAGTTGCCATAAGTCACATTGTAGTACCTACATAAACGTATGTTTTTCCAGTAAGAACGCGAGACGACGGTATCGCAATTCGACACGCGACAGTGCTCAGTGTCCCTTCGCCCCCGTCTGGCGCAATCGAGCTAAAATGGGTACAATTAGGGCCCGGCCGTTTTTAATTGACATCGGTCCCTCGGCTCGTGAGCATTGCACGGCCCTATGACTATCAATCTCTGACTTAGAACGCAAATACGTATACCACTTGATTTTATCTGGCTGCTGGCTACAACACGAAACAAAACGGAAGGGTTATTTTGGTTCCGCAGCCCGGGGTTCATTTTGCCGGACGTTAATGGACCCTATAACTAATAGTTGGAACAACACACTAGAGAATATACACAAGTAAATTATTTAATTTGTACAATAACAGGCAGATTGCTCGTGTGGGCAGATTATTATATGTCAAAAGGTGCATCTATCGGAGTTTGAATCTATTAATTTGTTGTTTGACCTTCTATGTTGAAGATAAGGCGACTGCGACTGTCTGATCTCAATAATGGTTATCTCATCTCTAATAAAGTTGATTAGTAATAATTATAAAGAATATATTTCCGTATAGAATTTTTACCTGCCTACGTTTTGGCCACTTCTTTATACTTAGTTTCTAGACTAAAATACGATTCCTGAAAATATCTTCAAAGCTCGTGCTCGAAATAGATCGCAGCGCTACACGCAACTGTATGCAACCATCACTCAGTTTTCTACTTTAGTAATTATTCCAGCTACAAAGAAAGGAGTTGAGAACCAAAATACAAACTGTTTAACCTGTCGCCCGCCGGGAACTTTGTCAGTAAGCAAACACGGGGTCGATTGACAAATCCAAAATAGCGGACGTTGGCGACGGTTAAAAAGAACTTCTAATTTCGAATGAGAGCTTAATTTTTTGTTTTTTTTCCTCTGTAATATTTTAGTAACTCAAACCCGGTGCGGCCTTAGCACTTACTGTAGAAGAAGGCCCATTGATCTTGTACAGTAATTTGTAAAACTTTTCGGTGACTTATTCTTGATCCTTATATGGTCCTTATTGGAGATCGTTTATTTGTTTGACAGTTTTGTTGTTGTACGTGAAATCAGGAGTCAGGAGTAATTTGCTACAGAACTTTATACAATCTCAAGTTTGTTTCGTGAGCTGTCCCTATCAGGGATTAATTTAGTAATGAAGACAACTGTGTGAAATGTAACTTTTTCACATTGAAATGAAGTAGGCTAATAGTTTTATGCCTTTAAATTAAATTACTTTGAATGAATTTTTATTTAACAGATTTTTGCAATGTTTTCATTATTTCCTTTCTTCTCCTGCCAGGTCATTAACTTAAGTTGATGAGTTGAAACGAGTGACTAAGTTTAATTGTCCATATTTTTGTTATTACGAGGGCGATGCCTCGTTTACCTAAATACGATTTAGCGTGAGTCAGTGCGGCTGATAGGGATGTGAAGGCGGCTTACACACAGTTCCTATGAACTGACGCTCGTCCTGAATATTAATTGGCGACCAACACATTGTGTGTGTATAAGGACTGCCTACTGGTTGGTTTCCGAACAAAAACTGAATAGTTAATAGAGTCGGCGTCACTCCGTCGTTCGAGTTGTTAGCAGACATATTACTAAAGCGATTAACGAGAAATTTCAAGTATTACTATCGAGTGTTGGTTGTACGGCAGTAAATCACTGATTTGTTGCTGTTATGTTTAGCAAAAACTTTCAATCGTCATGTGTATAGATAAGGTGTCAGTTGGATAAAATTATGTACTTAAAGTTAGTTGTTTTTGCCTCTACTACTTTCGTCGTCAAATCAATTAAGAAATGCAGCAATTAAATGCCGGGTTGGGTTTTGTATCTGTCAACTGTAGTTTTCAACATTGTATGATAGAAATGTATGTATGTAGCTATAAGTTTAAGTGTTCAAGATAACGTATGCATTCTCCACCTCCGGGAAAAACAGTACACTGTACACACAAATCACATAATAATCACACAATCTTTTTGAATGTTTTCTTGCTAACGACTCTTTTTTCTAACTTGGACTACCCATTTTAAATGGCTATCTTTATTTTAGCTTTTGAGGTTACGGGGGCCCAATCCTTCCCCTACCCCAATCCGTTCTCTTTTCCAAAATCTCCAAATCCCTAATCCCCAAAATATCGGCAACGCACTCGTAACTCCTCCGTCGTTGCGGGTGTTCATGGGCGACGCTGATTGCTTACCATCAGGTAAGTAATCCGTTTGCGCGTTTGCCGACCTATGACATAAATAAAAATAATCTAACTACTCACGTAAGTGATTTTAAACTTACACTATTTTGAGCATGTGCTGTTCTTATCAGTGATAATTTTCAATGTACCAAAGTCGCAGCTAATTGAACATTACGAGATATTGTTTAATAGTTTATTGTCATGCATGTGTACTCTGTATTACAACTGTTTGTATATCTTTGTGCATATGTTATTGTTCGTATGAAAAAATATTTATGTTTATATTGCTTATCTCATCATCGTCATCGTGTAAGCTGCTGCTACCTACAAGACGCCCGCTGTTGTAAAAATGCCATTGACTTCCATAGGATCGGATGGGCTGGTCGGAAGAAGCTTGCATTTAGCAACTTTTAAATTTATTATTTGGCTTTTAGCTTGCATTCTTGCTTCCTAAAAATTATCTATTTGATTTTTTATTAATTGTACCTACAACATACATATGTATTTAATGAAGGTTTTGTTAATTTTATTCTCCTGTTTATTGATATCACAAAATACCGTGAAAAACGGTAATCAGTGTTTTGCCGTATGAGATAGGTTACCTGAAACCGAGGCTTTCTCCTTAATGTTACTGTAACTGCTTTGTCCCTAAATCCCCAACAAAACAAAAGGCCAGGTAACGCACTTGGAACTACTTTGGTTTTTCAGGTGACCACGGACTGCATTGATTGCTTTACACCAGGTGATCCATTGGATCCTTTCCCATTGAAAATACGATAGAGAATTCATACATTAATATTTATTCAGGGGGGTTTTTAGTCATTAAGAGTCTGACACTCCCGCCGCCGGACTTCTCCGCCCGGCCCTGGGCGGGAGAAGTCATTTGATGATTTACCCCTCACAAAAAAAAAAAATTGTTATATTAATTAGGATTGTCTAAATATGGATTTCTTAAATAGGTACTCGTTCCTCCGTCCACACACAAAAGGAAAATGTAGTTGAAATGAATATATTGTAGCTACCTAGAGATGATTCGTGGAAATAAAATGGCGTAAATAATAATTAATACCAATTTAATATGTACTTACCTAACTACTGTACTCAAAGACGTTTAATCATCAATTAAACATTTCCTTAGTAATGATTTTATTTCGAAAAGTATTCGTAGGATCAGGATTAAGTACATAACTCTGAGTTCGGAGAATCATTAAACGTCTTTAATTCTTCAGCCTTTGCTCGAAATAATAGAAGTCGATGACGTAATAAATATCATAATATAGTGTGAGTGCGGTATGGCTGGTTATTATCTAATTTAAAATTTGGCCAAATTATATTTAAATAGGTATTACTGTAAGTTTTCGCAAGGGCCAACGAATATTGCACCTGCAACTTTAAATAATGTATTGCATCGTAGGTACTATTAAAGTACCAACACTACTTACCAACCAAAAAGCCATTTTTGAAGCATTTATAAAGGTATTTTTATGAATAACATATTTATTCAACCATAAAAATACTCCTATTTTGGAACAATAACAACCAAAAAGTCTTTTATACGTATACGTAAATGGCCACAGATTATAAAACTGGAAAGCAAGTCGCGACATAAACGGAGCGTCCTTACTGCCAGACGTACGTTATTGAACTTTCATGAAAGGATAACAGCTCCGTCTATACTCTATGGAATTACAGTGCATGTGTGTGTAACAATGCATGATTCATACGCTTTGCTTTATAGCAAATTCATGTATCTATTTGAAGACTAAAACGACTAAAAATATTGTGATAAAAGTAATGACTTTCCTTTTAAGTGTTCTAAGATAACAACAATATGAATGCTTTAGTAGGTATAGTAACAATATACTGAAAAAAAAAATCTGAGATTTTGACACTTGATGATTTTAAAAAAACTGTAACCTATTATTATGTTAAAGATAAGAGTTGAGTTCGCCCATTGCTTCGTAAAGGTTGTAACCTTGATTTTCCGGTTGCTCATCTAAACTAATAATAAATTAATAAACACAGTCATAGGCCCCAAAATGTACAGCCTTACTAAGAGTTAGGCAAAATTCCTTATTAAGTAAACAAAATATTTGATTTATATATTTTCCCTTATGAAGACATTAATCACAATTGCATTTGATGATTTCGCATCAAACATTAATTTAATTTGGTC